GCGGTCCCGGCCCAATCGACCAATCGACCTTGATCGGGGCGGGCTGGCTGGACCCCACCTGTACACAAATTCGTGCACTGGGCCTCTAGAGCAGCGGTTCTCAACCTGTGGGTCGCGACCCCTTAGGGGGTCAAACAACCCTTTCACAGGGGTCACCTAAGACCATCGGAAAACACATATATAATTACATATTGTTTTTGTGATTAATCACTATGCTTTAATTATGTTCAATTTGTAACAATGAAAATACATCCTGCATATCAGATATTTACATTACGATTCATAACAGTAGCAAAATTACAGTTATGAAGTAGCAACAAAAATAATTTTATGGTTGGGGGTCACCACAACATGAGGAACTGTATTAAAGGGTCGCAGCATTAAGAAGGTTGAGAACCACTGCACTATAACCTCTGAGCCTCAGTTTCTTCGTCTGTAAAGTGGGAGGGGGTAGAGTAACAGTGTCTATCACTGCTCTAGAGTGTGTGTGTATGTATATATATATATATCCAAAATTAACTTTGTCTTCTAATAAGACCTTTCTTCACTTAAGTTGGGGAGAAGGGAGTAGACAACCATGAACAGTAATGAGGTCTTTCAACCAAAATCAAGCTGAGAATAATACTCAGGGCCTATGAGCAAGAACAAAACCTATGCACCCAAGATGCTGCTGCACATGGTGGACTCCAGGGAGATGAGCCCGAGTGGAATTCAGGTGGAGTTTTCAGCAGAACCATTTTCACCTTGTGACCTCTTGGTCTTACTGTCCTTTTCAGTTGATTCTCACTGTTTTTGTCTCCCACTATCTGGTTTCTCTTAAGGAAAATGTCGCTTGCCACCACACTCACTTTCCAGCTGGTGTCTCACACTAAAACAATGGGAGTCCCCATACAGGCTTGGGACACAGCTTCAGTATGGCTAGAAGTAAGCCTAGAGATGTAATTTTGGTTAATGATCATAATGCACATTCATGAGACTAATTGTCCCCGTGCCTCCCAACTCCCTGGGGGTGAGTCAGGCACCAACTCTTTCAGGGCACCAGCTGCAATTCAAAGCCTTGCAGAGCTAGACCAGACCCTCAGAGGTCATCTAGCCACGCCCCTAACTCCACGTGGGAGAAATGCTTGGCTACCAGTGAGTTCCCTAATCAGCCCTAAGAGTCAAAAATTATTGATGTCAACAAAAGAACTGTTTGTCAGCTTGTTCTAAGCACCAAGATGCCTCTCCAGTCTAGAGACCAAAAGCAACTGGTCAGTGTCTTTTTCTCAATACACATAATGATGGTTATTAAATGCCCCCTAATTCTCTTCCCTAACTTAACCCAAATACTTTAATTTTTTTCTTAAAGGGCTTATTGTTCATCCCTTTAAACATGTTGTTAATAATCTTTTCTGTACTTTTGGGTTTTTCACAATTATTTTCACTTAATTCCAACATAGTAGTGTCAAATATTAAATAGGAGTGGGGGAAGTGCTTCCCTGCCCTTATACTGTATTCCCAATAGAACAGAGCCTGGTACCTTGCTTACTTAAAAATACACAATACTCCTCAGCTAGTGTTCCACTAGGACTTGGGGATCCACCTCAGCTATGATTATGCCTTACAGGCGATCACTAATAGCACAGTTAACATTATTACATCTATCAGGTCGGTGCGGATCCTTTTATGACCACTGTTATCACGTCCAAACAAAGTATTTCCTATTCTGGTGTAAAGAAAGGTCAGGTAGCCAAGGGACTATGCTTCTCACACCAGGTTTATGTAAAATACAAATCAAGATTTTCTAACTTTCAGTCTAAAGGATCTTTCTCCTTGTAGTCTGTGCCTAAAAACTGACACCTGAGCAACGCAGATGTGATAACAGGGTGGAGCTTGGAGCAAACGGATCGAACACAGAGCATCCTGATCCCAACTGCTGCCCCCTTCAAGGAAACTTGGAGGTAACTCAGGGATCTTAGCAATAAACTCCACTAGAAGGTACACTGAGATCTGAAAAATCACTGAACTTCTCCAAACAATTGAGCATCCTCCAGTAATGGCCAAAGAGGATCTTTTCTGTAAATTTGCATGGCTGCTGCCACCTAGCATAACTGGCTCACAGACCACCCTTCAGGATCATCCCATATTCAATTGGTAAGAAGGTTTCAATTCTATATCAATTCAGTAGTAGGTCTGAGACAATTGAGCATCCTCCAGTAATGGCCAAAGAGGATATTTTCTGTAAATCTGCATGGCTGCTGCCACCTAGCATAACTGGCTCACAGGCCACCCTTCAGGATCATCCCATATTCAATTGGTAAGGTTTCAATTCTATATCAATTCAGTAGTAGGTCTGACATCCGGAATTCTGTCCACCGTTCAAGGAGTAAACGTACTTCTTATTGTTGTATTTTGGATATGAGGTGAGGAGTTAGGGGAAGTCCTGATGCTAAATGCCCACAAGTAGCAGAGTTCTCAGGAAGAAATGCATCTCAGCAGCATCCTCAACACCTGCTCCATAATTACCCACGTCAGGGAGCCACAGCCACTGCAGGTCATTAGCCACCAGAGGCCATGCCTTTAACCACAACACTCCATACCTCCCAAGCTGGGCTCCACTGAGTGTCTGTACCATCTATGTCATACAGATGGAATTCTACTGTGTTCACTTAGCCCAGAGGAGCCATCTGCATGAACTCAAATAGTTACTTTAAAGTTGGCCTTGTTTCCTACGTAAGGTGCTAGCGATGAACGGTATTAGTCACCATGTCCTCCGCGCAGACTGGCTGATTATTTATAGATTCTTTTGGTAAGCATTGCACTATTGCACTTTGGACTCAACACCCAAACTAGAAAATCACAGAGCTTCTAAAACTTTGTGGTGGAATTTTTTTGGCTCTGAAGTATTTTTGCATATGGGCTTCATACAACTTACATTACTGATCATGAAATGCACCTCTAGCCCTTCACTTGGTGATGGGAAATTCTTCTTTCCTTAGTCCCGAGGCTTAGAAAAGGCCTTAAATATGACCACCCCCATTCCCACTTAACAGTATAATAATCACTATCTCTAAATCAGGGATCACCAAACTATGGGCCCTGGGCCAAATCTGGCCAGCTGCCTATCTTTATAAATAAAGTGTTATTGGAACAGAGGGCCATGCCCATTCATTTATATACTGTCTATGGCTTGCTACTCGCATGCTAAAACCCCATACCTGAGTAGTAGCAACAGATGTGGCCTGCAAAGCCTGAAGTATTTACTAGTAGGTCTTTAGAGAAAGAGTTTGCAAACTCCTTTGTAAATCATAAGGAAAATAAACTGCTTTTACTCAGAATAACCTCCTCCCCACCCCAACCAAACAAACAGCCCCGACCCAAGCTAGTCTCTGCATACCGCTTTGCATAAACTGTGGTTTCACTCTCTTACCAAGTGTTCTCTGAAATAAGATGCATATAAGCCGTAAAATACTTTAAAAACAAATTTAAAAAAACAAATATTCTGGAGGAATGAGTACAGAGTTTCAATTCAGAAGATGAAAAGTTCCAGAGATGGATGGTGGTGATGGTTATACAACAATGTGAATGTCCTTAATGCCAATGAACTGTAATTTTAAAATGGTTAAAATGGTCAATGTTATGTAATGCATATTTTACCACAATTTTTTAAAAAGCCTAAGGAGGGTATGTTGAAGAAAAAAAGTCCCTTTTTAGTGCTAGGGGAACTTACAAAGTCCATAACAAATGTCAAACTGTGATGAATGTTCTAAAACAGCGGTTCTCAACCTGTGGGTCGCGACCCCTTTGGGGGTCAAATGACCCTTTCACAGGGGTCACCTAAGACCATCGGAAAACACATATATAATTACATATCGTTTTTGTGATTAATCACTATGCTTTAATTATGTTCAATTTGTAACAATGAAAATACATCCTGCATATCAGATATTTACATTACAATTCATAACAGTAGCAAAATTACAGTTATGAAGTAGCAACGAAAATAATTTTATGGTTGAGGGTCATCCACAACATGAGGAACTGTATGAAAGGGTCGCGGCATTAGGAAGGTTGAGAACCACTGCTCTAAAAGAAGCTACAGTGCCAGCAGCAGCAGCAGCACAAGGCCACGCCCCGCCTCCACCTGACCCCACCTGGCTGGCGATGCTCTGCGGGCTAGGCCTGGCCTGCGGCTGGTCTGGTTCTATCTGACCTAGAGGACTCATCAGACAAGACTGCCCACCTCCACACGAGAAGCAGCCTATCACAGGGGCTGGCTTACAGCCGAACCAACTGGCAGCTTGGGGAGGCTACAGCAAGAGCACCTTTCAGGTGATGGAAACGTGAACTTCCCAGCATGCTCCAAGCACACACTAAACCAGTGATGGCGAACCTATGACACGCGTGTCAGAGGTGACACGCAAACTCATTTTTTTGGTTGATTTTCTTTGTTAAATGGCATTTAAATATATAAAATAAATATCAAAAATGTAAGTCTTTGTTTTACTATGGTTGCAAATATCAAAAAATTTCTATATGTGACACGGCACCAGAGTTAAGTTAGGGTTTTTCAAAATGCTGACACGCCGAGCTCAAAAGGTTCGCCATCACTGCACTAAACTTTGCTTTCTTCTGCAAAACTATTCTTGGCACTGGTGATATGGCATTGGGCAGGGGTATTACATCTGCACATGTCCCAGGCTCTCCGTAAACCTGTCCTGACCGTGGAGAAGGTGACGATGGCCAGGGTGGTGGTGGGCTGGTGACAGCAACTCTGGACTCAGAGCAGATGCTGGCATCAACCCTGGGCATTGTTCACTTTCCATGCCACCACCACCTGTCAGCCAAACCAGTGCCAGCCACTGTTCTAGATTGTGCTCCTACATAAAACCATAGGGTTCAACAAATCCCAGGCAAGCAAATGGGCAGAATCCTTTCAGGAGTCTCTTCAACAGCACAGTAGGAAAGTTGAGCTCATGTAGGATGAGGTTGGTCAAGCAAAATTTACAGAGATGCTATAGGAGCATTGGAAATAGACTTTTATTTAACAGAAACTTACACACACTTGATACAAACCCTACATTATGCAAAGCTTTATCACAATTCTACACATGTTATAACTTGTGGGAGTTGGTTGGAGAGTGAATTATTATTATAATTATTAGCATTTTTAAAGGGGACATTTTCTATCAGAAAATGTCACAGCAAAGGGCTACAAATGATACAAAGACACTCTTGGTGATCTCCCCCTGAGGACTGGTCCTGAATGAGAAATCTGAAAGGGCTGGCGGGACTGTGGTGCCCATCCAGTCTCCCCTTTCAAAGGCAAAAGAGACATTCTCCGGCTTAAAACCGTTTCAGTAGCACCGTCACTCGAGGACTTTTGCTGACAAGACTATCCGGCACGAGACTGTACATTTAATAAGACTCTGCTGAGAAGTGAGTGAAACCCAAGAGCATGGCCGTGTAAAAGGCCTGGAGTAAAACCCAGCGCCCCAGCCGGTCAACCGGCTCCTTCATTAGGCCAAGGGCGCGATGCTGAGTTACATTTCAGAGGCCATAACATTCCCTTCCCCTCACGTGGCCATAAAAGGACATGTCAGAACACTCGCCTTTCTCCTTTACCCCCACCAGCAACTGACTCTGAGGTTCCCTCACTCAGGTTGGCCTTTCTTGCCCTCGGGACCCCAGCATCTCGGTCCCTGAAGCCGGTTCAGCAGAGGGTTCCCTTTGCAAGCTTCCTCTAGTTGTTAGGAGACCAAATTAGTACCATCTCGGCTGATGCTCAGTTTGTCTTCTTTTTCCCTCTTCCTTCACTGCATTATTTTAAACAAAGCTGTCTGTGTTTGAATCTGTTGAACTCACAGAGATATATTTAATCACTAGGTGGAATTCCTTTCAGAACCAGGCCTTGTCAGACATGATAACCAGGAGGCAGGCTGCTTCTTGACATTCAGATAAATGGGGCTTGCCTGGGTTAGGGGAGAGGTTTTTTGGGGGGAGGGGGCGCAGAGAGACTGCTGATAGCCTTTGTGGCTAATTTATTTCAGTCAAGACGTAACACTCATTGAACATCACCAACACTTTCGATAGACTTTTGAAGAAGGAAAAAAAAAACCTGATCACTCCTCACTTACCACATCCAACTGGCAGAAATAAAAATACCTAAAGCACATACATGAATGGCTTTTTAAAGAGCCTGAGAGAGCAGAGTTGATCTTTATTTTCTTATTTAAAATGTGGGTGTTTTCCTTAGTTAATATGCAGTCTTTATTTTACATTACGTACTCTTTTGACTTCATATCTTCACAAAATCGCGTTTCACTTTCGAAGTAGAAGGTATTTTAAATAAAAATAATGTGCCACATCAGCACATTTTTCTTTTAAATATTGAAATAAATAAAATAGTGAACTTTTTTTTTTTCCTCATCAGTTTGTTTTCAGTTATTTCTATTGTAGAGCAGTTCCGGTCTGACCTGGGTACTTCCTCACAGACATTTAAAGAAAATGTAATGGAGAATTTTAAAAAGAAAAAAAAAAAATCTTCTTATTGCAAAAACGGAGGCCATTCCCGAGACTTCTCTGAGCTGAGCTGGAGGCTTTTCCACAAAAATTCAGGCTCCTGTGTTGGCTGAAACACACGCGCAGGAGGGGGCCGGGCAAGGGAAGAGGAAGAGAAGGAGGAGGAGGAAGAGGAGGAGGAGGAGGTGCAATCATCGTGCCTTCTTTCACCTTCTTCGGAAATGGCTTGCTTGAAGGACGCCGGGGTCCACAGGTCATAGAGTTGACTGCAGAGGGAAAGGCAACGAAAGATAAAACAAAAAACAACAGCACAGGACAACTCCCTAAAAAGGAAAGAATAAAATTAAGGGGGTGGTGGGAATGAAATGAATTCAAAACAAAACAAAAGAAAGAAAGAAAACAACTGACTGACTGCCACACTAATGAGGCCATGGCTGTGGACCAGAACAGACTGTGTCTCCCGTGCCTTGAGCTCCAGCAGCAGGAAGTCAGCCCGGAGCAGGCAGGTCAATGCTCCCGGCGGCTGAATGACACAAGAAACAGAGGACACAGCTGGCCTTTCCATTTCTAGGTGGTGCAGCAGCAAAACTGGGTGTCAGCAAAATCTGGTTTTTCTCCTCCGCTTGGAAACCAAACTAACTAAATCTTTTCGCTGTTAAAACACCCCAGACTGTGGCCGGTTTTTCTCAGTGGTTAGAGTGTCGGCCTGCAGACCAGAGTCACAGGTTCAATTCCCAGTCAAGGGCACGTACTTTCTCCCAACCTCAGTCGGGGCACATGTGGGAGGCAACCATTTAATCTCTCTCTCTCTCTCTTTTCCCCTCCTCCTCCTCCTCCTCCTCCTCCTCCTCCTCCTGCTCCCATCCTCCCTGCCAACCTTCCACTCTCTCTAGAAATCAATGGAAAAAAATATCCTCAGATGAGGATTAAAAAAAAAAAAGCAAGCACATAAAATACCCCCAAAAGGCCATTATGATGCAATCTATCTTCCCATCACCTAAGTAGAAATGAGTAGTTCTATGGTACAGGACCAGTTGCAGTCACAGAAAACCCCAACTGATGCCCCATTTGGCCCAAGGCCACTGCTTCATCCGCACACCCTCACCCAAAACAATGCTCCAAGGCATTCCAAGGAGTCTGAATTACTTGGAGAGAGAATCAAGCCAAGAGATCCATGCCAGTGCTCAACTAGCCCAGTACTTCTAAGTGTCAGACTTGGAACCTGGGGGCAGTTCAAACCAGGTGGGTCCTTTAGTCTGGATGGGTACCAACCAGGCATGGATTTTGCTTCTGAAATGAAATCTGCTAAGTTATTTTAGTCTTTGGAATGAAGTAGCCGGCACAAAAGAGTAAGCAATAAAACCAAAGTACTATCACATTTCACCCCAGAAGCAATTCCTAAGGGCAGAGATGGGTGCCTGGACAGTGCCCAGCTCACACTGAACTGAGTGGCAAGAGAGAGAGGAAAGGAAGGAGGGGCTCAACGGGAAAAGAGCCAAGCCAAAAGGGAGCCATGTTCAAAATCAAATGAGCAGCTCCGCCTCTTCCAAGCTAAAACTCCCCATCCCCCACCTCTCCTTCCACTGCTCAAGGTCTTATTACTCACTGCTCAGGTGTGTGGGTCTGGATTAGATGGACTCCCAAAGCTGGGACTCGCCTGCTTTCACCCACATCTAGCCTTCCCCTCACACCTGGCCGAGTTTCTTTTCATCCCATCCCATCCAACCCCACTGTCTCACTTCACAGATCTGCTTGTTTGGTCTCCCTTCCCAGATTCATCTTCCTTGGTATTCATCTCTGCTATTCCACCTGCCTCCAGCCCTTTCTCCAGACCTTCCAGAGTGTCTGCTGCGTGCTCTCTGGTTGGGCATCCAGTCAGACTTTCACCCCCTGCCAGGAGTCTTTCTGACCCTCTCCTCATGCCCTTAACCCCTCTGGTCAGATGTCACCTGTCACACTTTTAGTGAGTCTTTCTAATAACCATACACCATGCCCTTTCAATTTCCTCAAATTTCTACAATTGATTCCCCAACACACGTGTACACACACTCATCTTCGTTTGCCCACATAAGCCACCTAGAAAATAGCTGGTTGATTCCCAGCTTTGTGCTCCCAACATCCATTTTCTCTTTCATTTCGTCTGGTGGAGCCAACATCCAGCCAAACGAAATGTCCTGCCGTGTTCTTGGTCTTCTGCTCTCAGTCCCTTCCAAGGAGGCTGACTTTCCATCCCTCCACGCAGCTTCCACTTTCCTCTCACGCCTGTCTTCACATCCTCACTCTCCCTCCTACATCTCTCACCACCACGCTGCCCCCTGGATCTCAGGCAGCCCTCTGACTTGACCAATGATGCTGTGTCCAGATATGTATGACTTCTCCAACCTTTCTGTCAATATTTATGAAGCACCTGCTATGTATGGAGTAAGACACTAAATCCTTCCACTAATTAGCTCAGAAACATTGCTCACTCCTCAGTTTATTGCAATAATTATGGCACATTGCTCTACCTCCATTCTCTGACAAGAGACATCTCCCTGACTACTTTGACCCACAGCAGAAAGAATCCCATTGTCGTCCCATGACAACACATCCAACCTGCTGAGCAGTTACCCAGTCCCTAGATGCCAAATAAACAAGGTATATGTGAATGAAAGTATTATCATCCATACTAGCCTGAAACAAACATACTAGCCTGAATCAAACATACTAGCCTGAAACAAACATACTAGCCTGAATCAAACATATTAGCCTGAACCTAAGCTGAAAGGCCAAACGTCTGAGCCACATTATGGGATAAATTATGCCACCACCGCCCCCCCACCCCTGATATGATGCACTGAGAAGGATGCAGCATCACTTCTGTAGTATTCTTACCAAAACTGCATAACCTGATTTTCATCATTTGGAAACAGCACACAAACCTAAAATGAAGGACTTTCTAAGAAATGACTAAACAGTACTCTCCAAAAGTATCAAAGTTATACAAAGAAAGACTGCAGAACTAACTGCTTTAGATTAAAGGACTTCAAGAGGACATAACAACCGAAAAGTACAGGTGATCCTGGATTGGGTCCCTGGACCAGAAAAAGGACATAGTAAGACAATTGGCAAAAACGGAATAAGGTCTGGAGGTTGTAGTATGGTGTCAGTGTTAATTTGCTCATTGTGATCATTATACTGTGGGTTTTTTAAGAATCTAGATGAAGAGTCGATGGGAATTCTTTATATAATTTGTGTAAGTTTTTTGTAACTCTGAATTTATTTCAAAATTAAAAAAAAAAATAAGTCTTAGTCATTGGTCAAGGGCCAGTATTGAGATACTTTGAAAACCTACTTGCCAATGCTTGTTAGCTGGTAATTCAGTTCTGACAGGGACCTGCCATCATTCTCAGCTATTTGGTAAATCAATCAAGCAGAATGATTTTTCCTATGCTGTTATTTTGACTAAATGGTCAGAAATCACTTTTATGAAGCACAACAGTATCATATAATTCAATGTTTTAGTGTTAGAAGCACTTTGGCATGTGACTAAAACAAGGCCTGGAGTATTTATTCACTCCCTGCCTCCTCACGACTCACACCCTCACTGTCACCCCAATGTCACCACCAAAACAATGACCATTTAGAAAGCTCAACCTTTGTTCTTGGGAGGAGTTCATGAGGACTCAGACACTGCTGTTCCTTGGCAGGATTCTAATGTGATTAGAGGCTGGGTAATCATTTGATTTGTTTAGACAGCATCAAATACCTCCTCCTCTCAATCCAAAGAAGTCTTGAATGCAAGATCTCAAAGCCCTCTAGTGATTTTACTCAAGAAATCCTCAAAATGTGGTCGATGGAGAAGTCAATCTAGACTGAGGAAAGAGTATTAGCAGACCCAGACACCATTTACCCTGCAACTTCATCCACATCATCTAACCTGATGGAGTCTGTCTCCTCATCAGTAAAATGAGAACAAATCACATCTCACAGGGCTGCTTGAAGAATCATCATGAAAGAATGTGGTTATGTATTATGAAAGGGTAAGAAATGTCCATAGCCTAGGAATTGAGAAACTGAGGCAGAGATGCATGGCAACAAACTCACACAGGATTGAGACCAAACCCAGAACTTTTCATTTCTCCTGTAGGTTTCTACTCACTAGATCAAAAAATACCTGACTCGGGTAATACACAAGCAACATCACTTCCAAAGGTAAAGAAAACACCCTATGGAAAAGTGCCTAATACATGAGCCTGCTCAAACTTGAAGTAGAAGTTCAAGATCATATTCATCAGATGTAACAGGAGGCATATTGGGATAATATTAATTAATTTTACTCCACCATGAAGTGAGACCCTCCAAGCAGCCTTTAGTTCTCTCCTCGAGTAATGATGTTGTGTTCCCTCAAGTGCTATATAAAGGCAATATCGGCTGCAGCCCATTAGGAGCATAGAGAGATGCAAAGTAAGCAGGGAGACTTAAAGGGATACTATTGATGTGCACATCATATTTTTATTAAATCCTTCTCTCGAAAAGACCAGTAGCAAATTGCATTACTGACTTTAAAGTATCTTTAAAAAATGAAATGCGTATTTCTCACTCCCAGTGTTACTGTGATTAGAGGGTCTGATCTCCACATGGTCTCAATAACAGAAATAAAGGATCAGATTGCTCTAAGTAGGGAAAAACATCAGATAGACAAAACAATAATCACCTTTTTCATCAACAGTTCCCCCAGGGGATGTGAATGTTGTAACAAATTTAGAAAGTTCTATATATTTGATTCTCCTATCTTTGGGCTAGGACTCAGAAAATTAGATGATGTTTCTGAAACATTTTGGGTGGACACTTTATTGAGCTGAGGACAAAGGAAACTAGTTAAATCATTTTCATGCTGATGACTCTAATTTCTTTTATGTTAAATTTGGAGTAAGTGATACTTATTTAACAAAAGCAACAACAAAACAATAGATGTGTTGACTGCTCATACAACTGCTGCAATTCCTGAGGTCACAGAAAAAGGAGACCTTTGTTCCTAGTAGGCATCAGGAGGGAATGTCTAGAAATGAGGTTTAAATGTCGAGCTTTCTATAACTTTCTGTACAGACTTTTAATTGGAATTTTCGTTTTGGGGACTTAATTGCTTACTCTTCTAATCCTTTAATAAGGTTACCACTTACAGCTATATTCATTATAAATACCCCTTCTTTCAACTGGACCTCAAGGGAGGTATATACACATACAGTGGGGCCTTGACTTACGAGTTTAATTCGTTCCGTGACGGAGCTCGTAACTCAAAGTGAACGCGTGAGACACGTGATGCTGGGCTGATGTTGTGGTGTTCACTGTGACGTTCGCTGCGCCAACTAGCGTTGGGGTATCTGAAGCTGGCTCGTAACCCGAATTTTAGCTCGCAACTCAAAGCAAAAAATCGGCCGAGACGACTCATATCTCGAAAAACTCGTTAGTCGGGACACTCGCAAGGCCCCACTGTATATCTTCCCCCTTTGACCAAGTATTAACTGAAGTGCAGCCATAACTGTAGCCAAAGGAGGCATTACGCTTCCAGAAAAAACTCAAGGAAAAGTATTGCAAACAAAAAGTAGTAGCTGTTGGATAGGGCTCTGAAGGAACGTGTGAAGAGGTTCAACCAGTTACTGTGAAAGTGGGAGTAAAGTTCTCCCAGAATATGGAGGCACCAAAGTAGCTCTCGATGACAAGGATTATTACTTATGTAGAGATGGTGACATCCTTGTCAAGTATATAAAATGAAACAAGTCACTATGCATCCACTGAACTTCTGAAATCTTCCTCATGTAAATAATTCCCATGTCTCTCTTTAATAATGAACTAATATTTCTATTATTAGGTTACACATAGGAATATTGTATTATATTCCTATATCCCATATGTAGGAACCTGCAAGGGCCGCACAGAACCATAATATAAGAGCACAGGAGGTCCTGGGGCCAGGTGGCCAGGGATCAAACCTGACCCCGTATTAGCTGTGAGGCCTTAGGTACATCTCTTAACCTTATTACTGAGCCTCAGTTTTCCCATTTGTAAACTGGGAATAACACAAACACCTACCCCATAGGGTAGTCATGAGGATTAAATAAACTATTCCCAGGAATGGACTCAGAACAATGTCTGGCACATAAATGCTGGCCATTGTTACGTAGAGAGAGGGTGGGAAAGAGAAAACATCAACCATCAAGGTGGCTGGAAACTCAGGACATCCAGCTTCCTCCTCCTATAACCCCCGAGTTTCCTTCTTTCACCTTCACATCTGCCTCCAAATCAGCGTCCATCCTGCTCTCTCACTTCACTCATTTAACCTCTCTGAGTTGATCTTTCTCAACTAAAAAAGGAAAGATTTGAATTTGATCATCTTTAAAGTACCTCCCAGTTCTTTTTTTTTTTTAAGGATGTAAATTCTGAGTCTGTTTACTGTGAGTAAGGTGAGACAAGGTGTTCAGGCAATGCTAAGATATAGGACCATGCTCGCATTGGCTACACCAACTGAGAAAGATGAGGATATCTACTATCCCCAACAGAAGAAAAGGAAAATCAAGTTATAGTAGTAAACATAAAACAGATAAGCGCTAGCCATCCTCAGATAAATCTTCCCATGGGAGTTTGCCTTGTTTAAACAATTCTTCATTCTTCGTTCCCTTCAGAACTCCAAGCTAGACTCTGAAATTAGGTGGGTTTTCATAACCTGTTTTAATTATGTGGATTGAATTTTTTTTCAAGTTCAAAGGTAGGCTGTCATTAAGAATTTCAGGACTACAAACAACTAGACAGATTTCAAATGACAGTATCCATTGGTCAGACATGCTTTTATTAACATGGGAGCTCACAGTTCATCAGTGAGAGGAAGTCATAATGCCATGAATCCAATATCTGACTCAAAGTAATAGAACAGATGAAGAGGTGGAGAGTGACAGCAAGAGCAGATTGTATCCCCTTAGCAGAAACCAACTGGAACCAACTATATTGGCTTTTCACACGTGCACATGCAGGAATATTAACTGTTGGGGGTTTATGCCATATTCCCTAGGAACGGGACCACATACAGATGAGGCAGGACATCCCCAAACTGGATGAGGCTGTTACTTTCGTTCTCTCACAATGAGAACAAACGCCCAGGCGAGCACGTACATATCTGAAGCAGGAGAGGAGCAGAAGCCCTGCCTGTTTCAGGTACCAGAGAAGCACAAAGGGCCCACCTGTGGGTTTCTTTGCTTGGTCCTTGCTTTTGTCTGGTTGGTTTGCTATTTTAACGAGATGTCTAATTCACCGAGGGTCTGCAAAGGATGGACTGTCAAAGCGGATCTTCCCAGACACTTACGAGCCTGGGTGGCCTCTCTCCTCGCCCAACCCAAGCCAAATGGCAGAACCCATGTCTCTGGACCTGTGCTCTCATGGAGGCCAAAGAACTTGACCACACTTAGTGAGAGTTCAGAATCTTCAGGTCAGCTCAGGTGAGTGCTGTGCCTAATCATAGACCTGCTTTCATTTGGATGCATCCCCTTGGCTGTTAAATTGGTACCTGGAGCAAGAAAGGCCAACCTCAACATGCAGTCCCCCTATGGCCAGGCGCCCGCGTTCCTGCCAAGTACAGCAGCCCACTCCCAGGTCAGTTCCCTGGACACCCCCTCCAGGTGTAGCCATGGGAGGCAATCAGGTAGGCACTTCCCCCGGCACTTTCTCTTAGAGTTGAGCCAGAAGCCAGAAGCCCCCCATTCTCCACACAGAGCCCGAAGCAAGCTCAGTCCTCACACTAGGGCCAGGCCCCTGTGGGGGTACATGCACAGACACGGCAGAGGGGCAGGCTACCCGGGAGTCACTCTCACACTAATAAGGGGGTCCAACCCCCCCCAAAAAAAACCCCCACAAAAGACAAGGTAGGTGGGGGTGGGGAGGGAAGAAAAGAAAGTAAGGGGGAAAAACAACTATGATGGTTTGCCCTCATGGTAAGACAGGTCAACCAAGACATACCTTTTGACTAGGCCCGCACAGCTGTTCACTCTTGGGACTGCCAACAAGGTGGGTGGTCTTCTCCATCGCCCCAGGGGCCTTGAGCAAGTGTGGCTTTGGTTTATTGCAGGAGATGCTATTGGAAACATAAAACAAAGTGCCTGGAGGGCACTATAAAAAAATAGGATACGGGAGGACTTGATCATCCAACGGGAATTTCTAAGTTTGTAAAGAGGGGTGCGGGGGCAGGGAAATGTACTTCAGGTAGCGTTCTTTCTTCCACGAGCGCAGCTCGGGTTGCTGAGTCCATGACTTTCTGCTTACGTTCCATTCCTGCATTTGGAAATCGCTCTTCACCAGGAGGAAAGTGAGGGGAAAACCAGCAACCACCGAACAGTGGCTCCGCTGATGGAGAAGAGGAGCCCAGCAGACGCTGCTGGGGGGGACCCAGGTGCTGGAGGGAGGCACACAGCAGCCCGCACTTCTCAGCAACTGCTGACATTTTCTCGCAAGCAGGGAGGAAGGCGGAAAGGTCAGGGATGAGAAATGGGGAGGGGGTCTGCCGAGGGAGCCAGACACTCCGTGGGGTACAAAGTGCAATCATCTCCCACCGAGGAACTCCTCCTGCCCGGGTCTCCTTGAATCAATCCTCCCCCAGTGGCTTCCTTCTAAACAGGGTATTACTTCAATTTCTTTGATTTTCCTTCATTCTCTCTCTCTCTCTCAAAAAAAAAAAGTCAGTTTCTAATAATAGTTAGAATATATAAATAATAATTTATTTAATGTAATTGGTTCTTTGTTTCCAAACCCAATATTCCTCCTCTCCTCATTTTGCCAATAAATAGGAACACTGAGGAAATCAACTCTGCTCATATCAAAAAGATCCCCTCCCCCGAGAGACAGTTCGCCTAACTTCTCATTGCTCTGGAAAATAAACAGCACATCACGAGGCCATCTCTCTGAAGGACTAGTTTGCTCTTTTGTTCTGTTTTGTTTCAGTAGTTTGTGCTTCTGCTGTACATACTCAAAATCGAGGGCAAGGGGGAAGGGATGGGTGGAAGGCAAGAGGAAAAAGCAAGGATGAAGGGAAAATCTAAGGTTGTCTTTCATTTTTTTTAAAAATGTGTCAGAACCAGAACAATGACCAAGTCAGAGGGTGATGGCTAATTGCCCAGAGAGTCCATTCATGGGTTTAGCAACTGCCCTTTTTGTCTGCTGTGGGCGAGCCCCGGCCACTGCGGCGTCCTCGGCAGGAGTGAGGCTCTTCCAAATCGTCCTCATCAAAGCCGTGGAAAGTTGAGGTGTCACTTTCAGATGTGGAACCGAATAAGTCCTCCGTGGTGCGTGCTGCGGCCGCTGCCTCCTTCTCCTTCCTGCCTTCTCTTCCCAAATGAGCTGACATGTATGATGAATATATCAGCACATGGGTTAAGCAACAGACAGCATTATTAATATTCTTATTATATTATTACAACATTATGCTTCATAGCAAGATCATAAACCATTTGCACCAAAAGAGATTAACTGGGTGCATCACCTCGCGACAGGGATTTGGGGTAAAAGGACAAAGCCAACATTTCCAGGGAAAAGGATTCCTCCCTCCCTGAAAAGGCATCATCTCTACCATAACATGTACGTCCACAGCTCTGAACGTGAGTGAAAGATTCCTCACGAGATTTTTTTTCTCTTCTGTATGCACGCACATGCGTGTGCACACACACACACACACACACACACTCACTCAGCCCCACCCAAGACAATGAGTTGACTTGGTGGGTGTTAGCCCGGCTGGTATTTCTTTGGTGTTTTCCATGGGTGTTTCTTGCACAATGTGTGTCCTTCACTTTGACAGGCAGCTCTGCAAAGGTATTACTGTCAGATAACCCGTTCCAGGCGGTTAAGCCTCCATCTGCTTTATTTTTGTTTTTACCTGTGTCTAATCCCACTCTTTCAGTACCCGTTCAATTCTGCCCTTACACCATGTGGCTCATTTGCACTGAAAGCAAAAAGAAGCTGGAAAGTCCGACATGTGGTAGGTAATAAGAGTCTCTCGTTTTCTTTAACCACTGGAGGACATTATTGTGATCTGCACCCACATACATGTGCCCACAGATACATGTGTGTGCACCCATGCACATGCATGTGCACACCCACACACACTCCAGCCACGACACACGCCCAGGTCTTCGTTACCCCAGAAAGTCCAAAGTTGTCAAATCTAACTCAGAGCACTAAGAGAGTGAAAAAATAGGAGTTATATCCTGAAATTTGTACAACTCAGGTTTAAACTGTTTACATTCTAAATGGGCCCCAGGATTACCCCCAAATAAGGTCATGATAGGCCAGTTACGGTGCCAGGATCGGGAATCTCATTTTCTCCCCTGGAAACAGGAAGTGGGATGGACTGGGAGGGAAAGAGAGCTCTTCCAAGCTCCACTCTTCCTTGGAAAAACTCCAGGAGGCCCTGGAGAAGTATTTGCCCCCTATCTTAACAAGCACATCCCATGGGTTAATGCCACCTGTTTATTCCCAAGGTATCAACTGTTTCAGGAAAACCAGAGGCAGACCTGGACTAAATTAGTCACCAAAATTAATCCTTGGCAAATGCAATGAGAACACCTAGGCTGGTATAAAATGGTCCCCTGAGTCACACAGCAGACAGATCCTGGGAAGAAAAAGCTGAGTAAAAGGCTGTGAAGAAAAAGGGTTTGGATAGAAAAAAAAATCAACTGCCCACGTCTGGTCCCCCATGAATCAGATTCAAGTACCTCATCTTTTATAGGGAAGGAAGGGAAGGAAGTAGTTTGTAATGAGGATCCTGAAGCTGCCCTCTCTAGCACGTCCCCCGAGGTCCATAGCCTTCTGCCTATAGCATCACACCCAGTGACTTCGCTTCTGACAGTCGTTCACTTTAAAAATACTGAATTGAATTTCATTTGTTTCATTTTCTTTTTAAATATCTAAAACCCAGAGTCCACTATCACACAAGCCCTCTTTTCTAAACTGGCACCAGGAGAGTAAAAGGTTCAGCTTTAGGTATCATGTTTGCAAAGTAAATGAACTGACAGGGTTGCAGTGGGCCACCCTGTCAGGGTCCTTAAGTGTTACATGTTGAGATTTGCACGCAATGGAAACCACTCCTTTTTAAATTACTTCTCAAGTCAGTCTTGAATCTAAACAACCCAAAAGCCAAATGAAGTAAAAAAAAAAAAAGAAAAGAAAAAAGACTAGCGCTAAAGTTTGTGGACCAAGCAAAGGAAGAACAGAGTTGCTCCGGTATACCCAGGTGTGGTCACCTCGGCCCTATTCTTGGAAGTAGGAGGAGAAAGGACACAGGGAAGCGTGTGGAAGGAGCAGGGCCTCCTCGCTGCTGGATCCAGTGTCCAACTGAACTGCATTTCACCTACAAGAGTCCATAGTTGAGGAGACTAAACACAAGTCTGAAATCTCTCATTGGCCTAGTTATGACATAAAAATCTATGAAAGATTGGTAGTACAACCAACCACAACCAGCCAAAGGTAACGGTTTGGTTAGAATTAAAAAACAATCAACAGCTTGAGCAAAACTTGAAAACCTGAATTCATTTTAGGAATGAAAGAACAGGATCAAAGTCTTTTTTTATTTTAGTCTTTGGAGAGGTTAGAAATGAAAATTTCAAAACAGGCCAAGCCAACTTCAGATTAGCCCTAAGAACACTGCCCTTTTGTCTCCTTCCTCTATCAGGGTCTCTTTTTTGGTTCCACATGAGAAAATGGGATGAGCGGCCAATGGATGCGATATTTATGCTACTACCGAGCAGCGCAGAGGTCTCTGACTCCCACAACTCAAAATGTAGCTGCTGCCCCAATATTCATGTTTCCGTACCTTCCAGTGCGCCCAGGCACTTCCGCAGAACAAACGAAGCTTTGTGTTACATGTACAGCACCCGATACAAGAAAGTGTTGCCTGTGTCTCCAGGTGTCCCCACATTTCTCACAACAACACACACAAAGAAATATCCACTTCATGAAAAGGCCAAACACAAGACCAGAATTTCTCCCTTCCCTTTTCCCTGGCTCCCGAGGCATGATTTCTTGAGATCCAAAGTAGAAAAATATCCAATGACCTGAAAACTCCTCTGTACTTGAAGTCATCACCACCACCAACTTCCCCACCCCACCCTCCACCCCACAGCAGATGGCAGAGGCGTGCGGGGGGACAGCTGCTGGTCTATGGGCACAGGTGCAGGAAGGGGCCGCACTCACCAGAGCGTCCGCAGTCTGCACAGGACACCAGCTCTTCAGGCCGCCCACTCTTCTTGTTCAGGTTGGAGCCTCCCAAGCAGAAGTCACAGTAGTTATTAGGAATGACTGTCCCATCCGGTCCTTTCTGGGCTGTTAAACATTTTTTTAATTGAATTTTAGACTGAGATGAGTTTCCACTGCCCCCTCTTCTCCCACAGTCTGGCAAAATCTGCTCCAGAAAAAAAAGATGAAGGTAAAATCTGAGGTTTTGTCACGACTAAGTTGTTAATAGTACCAGTGTTGCCCTGGCCAGTATGGCTCAGGTGGTGGAATGTCATCCCATGCACCGAAAGATCCCCAGTTCTATTCCTGGTCAGGGCACGTGCCTAAGTTTCGGGTTTGCTCCCCAGTCAGGGGGTGCGTTCAGGAGGCAATCGATTGATGTGTGTCTCTCTCTCTCACATCAGTGTTTCTCTCTCTCCCTTCCTCTCACTCTAAAATCAATTAAAACATGTTTAAAAAATAGTATCAATGTTTTGCAAGCCACCCAGTTTACTTTGATTGTTGCAATATTTCCCAGCTCTGCATTTTAGAAGAAACAAGACTGTTCCTCTGATTGCATCCCTGGATGGGCACAGCATCCAGGCCTGCTAGTCAAGTGAACTGCTCTCATCCCTGAACAAGCAGCTCTCAGGGCCAAGGCCCCAAACAGCAGATGGCAGCCATAAACAGTGGTGTGATGAGAGAGAGAGAGAGAGAGAGAGAGAGAGAGAGAGAGAATATGAGAGGAGAGAGAGAGAGAGGGAGAATGGTCGATGCTTAGGCCTTGCCCTTTGGAAAGATGCTTTTGTTTAGGAGACAGTCCTACCATCCCTGAAAAGGAAAACAAAGCAGCATTCATTTCCAGAAAGGACACTGAAGATGCTCTTGGGGACTTTGATGAGCATCTTGGCAGGTACACAGGTGTTCACTCTTGCTCAGCTGTATCTCCCTAAAGTCCAGACTCGCTGGTCATGGAAAGCACCCCGGACTAGATAATCAGCAGACCCCAAGTGCCTAGAATCAGGCTGGACACTTAGCTGAGCCTCAGGCCAGAGATGGACTGAAAAGCGAGTTAGTGAGTGTGCCTTGAGGCTTAAGATCCTCATAAGCCACCCATGATGAAAGTCCTATACAAACAGAGAAAAATCTTGGAACATTGTCTTAAAACAAGCCCTATGAGAACAGCACCTGTCCTCGAGCACCGAGAGCACTCTCAGTTTCTACTGCCTGGTGTAAAGCCTTGCACAGGTTCTTTGCCTCGGGAGAAACTCCCCCATTTTCCTCTGTTTCTCTGGCCCTATTGTGGACATGTCTTTGTCACATTAACACTCCCTGTTTGCGAGCAGAAAGAAACATCTCTCCATTTATGGGATCGGCCTAAACCACGGGGGCATCTTCCTCCTCGCGATACCCATGTCTGCTATCTTTCATTATTCACTGGCTAACATTAATCAGGGTCCCGTAGGGTACGAAGCTGTAAAAGGAAGCAGATATGTGAGCAGAAATACTATCCAGACAGTAAGTGATAAACGGATTCACCCACTTTAATGCGATTCCCTCTGGCCTTTGCTTCCTCCATGCCTCTGCTGTGCCTCCAGGAATAGAAAAACTTACCTGGGAAAGGCAGAAGACAAAAGCTTGCAGAATCACATTAGAGGGGGTTAATCCATTTATCAGTTGCTATTTGGATTGTTTAATCAGTTTCTAAGTCATTGATTTTCATCTTCAGGGAGGCAGACAAGTCTCTGCAAGAAAAGTGCTGGCTGTTTGGGGGCACACAGAGGAGGCCGTCACACCCTGTCATCAGTCTCTGTATCTCAAAGCCATCTGCATGTCACAGAGAATCGTTTTGCAAATCGCCAAAAACCAGTACATCTGCCTGTAACATTTTCATTGCCCAAATCCAGAAGGAAGTCCCTTTCTTCCTTCTCTCTCAATTGCCATCTTAACCATTTCTGGAACTCTCTTAAGAAAGCCAGGCACATCTATGAAGCAAGTAAACTCAGGGTTTCCTGACCAAGAGGCTATCATGGAAATCAGTCAAAAGGTGGACAAAAAAAAAGTGGGGTGCATTAAATGTAGGGGCTGAATGTAAACAAAAGTTAAATTTCAGGATTGGTATGAACTAGATATAAAATGTGGAGATGCCAGTTACAACTTAGGTAGCTTCCCACATAAAAATCAATATAAAAAATCTCACGTGTATCATTTCACAAAAACTCTCAGGAGGCCCTATCTCACCATTTGTCTCTCTCCTGTTCTCTTAGGGACCTCTTATTATGTCAGATTTTTTTCTGCCCTTTCACAAAATCTTTTAAGCAACCAAAGAAGCTGGTTGTCCCCAACCCACTGTATCACTTGTGACTTATGAGGAGAAGGAAGTAGAATATAGAGTATAAGAACTCCCAGATAATCCTTTACAGTTTTTACCACCAGCAGACCATTGGTAGAACACCCAGACCATTAAATCAGGGATCCAATACGGCAAGAAATAAAAAATTCAGAAATGATCTAGTAGAGCAAAGAAGACAATGATGGAGAAATGGATCCTATATAAAAAGACCAAAGGAACAGAATTTAATTCATCTGATGAAGAGAAATTTCTGAGGAGACCGAATCAGAATAGGGTCCCCACATATTTTGGTGTCGGTTATTGGCCACAGAAAGTGCCAGGCCCAGGAGGTGAAGAGGTGCTACAATCTGTGTAGGCCCTGGTGTATGCAGCTGTGACATGCTAGAAGTGGGGGAGGGAGGGAGGGGCTGTATTTTAGTAGAGCAATGACCCAGGATAGGAAGGGATACTGAATGGTTACACTTCATTTCCAGCAAAATCCTTTCTGCTTCAGTTCCTACTGTCTTCTCATGACAGTAAGCTCAAAGCTTTCTTCCATCTTGGTAAAATGGCGTAGAGTAGACTCATAGATAGCCTTCGCACCTGGTTCTCATACACGTTTTGGTATTTAGGATGGGTTTCGGGGTGAGAGTTCTCCCATGGAGCTCTCCCAATTCCCCAACCAGGCTTTGGGGCGGGCACTCTGCTGACACTTCTGAGGGTGCTTCTCTTGCTTATGCATGTGTACACCTGCCTCGTCTCCCCTATTAAAGGATCGACTCCTTCAGGTCAGGGACCACGTCAAACACATCTTTGGAACACCCACGGGCCTGTGCACAGGAAATGGTTAACAACGTGTGGGATGAAGGGCTCAGAAGAGAACGGCAGAGATGCAAGCAGGCAGCACAGTGATACCACCCCTGGGACTTCCCAGCAGGGACAGAGCACTGGGCTGGCTTTCTCTGGGGCAGAGTTATCTGTTGTGCTGAGTATCATTCACTGCCTGTTTATTTCCCTCATCCTCAGAGCAGAGCTGGTCCATGTCCAGAGAGATTGGTCAGTCATCTCTAACTCCCAGAGAATACAGGAGCGGTAGCTGAGAGCTCTGGGTTGCGGCAAGAATAACACTGTGCCCCTACGATGGTAGGTGAAGCACCACCTGACATGCAAACATCCAAGAAAAGTTTGTAAGACTACGCTTCATTGTCTCTTGAGAAGGGGACACCAGGTTGCATCTGCCCACTCAGCCTCCCTCTTGTTCAACAGCTTTTCGAGAAGAAAAAGCAGCAAACACTTATTACACAACAAAACTGTGATGGATCTTACGCTGGATGCTTTACATATGGTATTTCATGGATTCTCACACACAAAAAAATATTTTGTGAAGTAGGGATTATTTGACAGATGAGGTAACTGAAGTCCAGAGATTAAGGGCTGGCTCCGGGGTTCACCTCCAGGTTGTCTGTGTCCCCAGAGACTCTCGGTCTATAATCTGCCTCCTGGAAATTCCAGAGGCAAACACTTTCTGACCAACATTTGCATATAAAATATTTCAGAAATCTCTTCATTCACCTAACCCATTATTTAGGAATCCCAAAGCAATAAAAGTTGAGGTTGGCCTGGTAAAAGCGGAAATTCCCTTTGAACTGAAACTTAATGTCCCTCTCACAGGGATCCATCCCGGTGACCTGCTTACTGTCAAATGCTCTGCAGAAGAAACACTTCTCCAGAGAGTCCAGGGGCCCGGGAAGGGATTTTTTTTTAAAGTAAAGCTCACACCACGGCTCTGTTGGCCTATGGCCTGACCCAGGGTGAGCAATTTCCTGGTACTGTATCTGAGATCATTAGAAAAAGGATTTTACTATAAATAGGAAGCTTGCCCAGACCTTGCAAGTGGGATTTAAATAGAGATTCTGCCCCTGCTTATGGGAAATTGAGTCCCGCTTTATAGAATAAGATGACAGTGAGGGCAAAGGCCCGCGTGGTATCTTGGTGGCAGCGCCCGCAATGATGGACTTGGTTTTCTGTTGATTAATGTTCATGGGCTGAGATCATATGAGAGATACAAGGAAGCTGCTGAGAAAATAAAGTGAGCCTGAAGAGTTTAGGAATTTATCTGGGCAGATAACTCCAAAAATCTCAAACGAAAGAAAAGAATAGAAATCAAGAACAAAGTTCCTAAGCGGGGTGGGGGAACTAGAAGGTGGAGGGAGCATTCATATAAATCAAACCAAGAGAAAGAACAGCCAAGCCCCGAACTGTCCCACCACCACTCTCAGGAAGGGTTACGCAGTCGTTCTGGAAAATGCACACTATGGGATTTTCTACCTCAATCAGGCCGTGTCTATGGCAATCACGGCCCCAACTCTTCCATAGAACTACCACCCAAACAGGGCTGCCTTTCTCCAGTTCCGTCTGATCTCTGCTGCGATATGCCTGCCACACATGAAGGAATGGGCGGCAGGGACAGTCTGGCATCAGCAACAGCCCCTCATCCGGCTCTTCCAAGATCTGAACTCCGTCCCAAGTGTCCTAGGGAAACAGGAAGCCAGCCAGCTTAGGCTGCTCCAGGGCACATCCACAAAGCGTGACTTCACATCCTGAGCAGACGCTCAGGACCGCCTGCCAGGGCCTGGTGTGTACAAACACATGGCCATGCTCTGTGCCCGCCACCCAGCCCTGACCCAGCCCCGGCCCCAGTCCAGCGGTGGTCTCCCGGGGCCTGCTAGTTGGAGTGCACAGCCCTTGGGGAACCGGGGGGCAGTGAGGAGAACCC